AGGGACCCTAACTGATATAGTGATGGTATCGTGAGTGTTCTTAAGAGGTAGGCTCTCAGAGTAGAATTTTAGTTTTATGTTGCTCACATATTTGAGGAGCATCACAGGCACTTGGCAAAGTAATAGGTGCTTAGTTAGTTTGTTGTAAGGAATGGAAAAAAATGACCTTCTGATCTTTGTGCCTCTCATAGCCAGAAAAAAATCAGAGAACCAGAAATGAAGAGAGATTTCTCTTTTAGGTTTCCCAGAACGTGCAAAGCTGGTCATTGAAAGGTAGAAAGATATATGTTCCCTCAAAAGGATGCTCTTCTCTCTCCACAGCAGGCACCCCTGCTTCTGGTGATCCTTCCTGACAGGAATTAAAGACAAAGCATTTTCCCAGGCAGTATTTGGGTACCAGGTGCTAGAGACTATTGCTTTGTTCTAGTAAAGACAGCACATCTGGAATAGTCAACTTGTCATCGATCTGAGGGATCAGCCTGCTAGTCCGTTTGTAAAGCCAATCACGGTTCCTCTGGAGCACATTATAACAAAGAGCAAGAGAGATGGAGGCCTTAGATGAGAAAGTAAAGATAAACTTCTCTGTGTCGTGCGAATGCACCATTATATTAGACTCAAAGAATACCTTACAGGGTATCTCCTCTCACCTAGAAGCTCGCTTTATAGTGAAGAAGGCGCAGCTGTCAGTTCATGCTGTGGAATTCATTGGTCTTACCACGTGTCTCATCACCCAAAAATAGTTGACTTGATAGAAGAATGGAATGGTCTACTCAAAGCTCAGTTATAGAATTAGCTGATACACAATACTTAGGCTGGAGCGATATCTTACATGATACAGTATATGCTTTAAACCAATGGCCAAAATATGATGCTATAGCTCTTGTAGCCAAAACACATGGGTTTAGAGCTCGAGAGGTGCAGCTGGAGATGGTCCTTCTCATTATTATACCTAATAGCCCAAGGGAGGCACTAGGATGCTTACATAGGAAACAGTCATGCTTTTACTGCATTGGAAGCTTAGGATGCTTCTTAAACATGTGGGGCTCCTCACACCGCTGAACCTACAGGGAGAAAAGAGGCTACCTGTACTAGGTCGGGTGATTATGAGGAGGAAATTGATTTGTTCATACACAGTGGTTACGAGAAGAACTATGTCTAGAGCTCAGAGGATTTACTGAAGCATCTCTCGGTATGCCATTGCTCAGTAATCCTGGTGAAGGGAAAATTGTAGCAACCCAATAAAACTAGCCACTAAGGACCAGATCCTTCAGGAATGAAGGTTTGGGTCAATCCCCCAGGTCAAGAAATTCAGCTGAAGTGCTGGCTGAGAGTAAGGAGAATTTGAAATGATTAACAACTCAGATCTCATGACCTGCTACACAAGTGGGATTGAAGCACCTTTGTTTTATGTTGATTAACTGTTTCTTCCCCAGCTCCTTTCTCCTCCAACTAAAGAGGTCTGGTGGTAGCTAAGGTTTTAGGTTTCAGGTGGGCATGTGAGGAAACTGCTACTACCCTGCCAAGATACACTAGTCGGGGTCAGAAAAT